CGTGCGTGCGTGCGTGCGTGCGTGCGCGAGAGTGTGTGTGTGTGTGTGCGTAAAAGGGCACCTGCATTGCGCCTGCATGTTGGAGGTCGAACCTTCATTTCGGAGGGGAGCATCTTGCGGAAGGGGTGGAACAACCTGCAGAATGGAGGTCGAACCTCCGTGATTAATGTTTTTTACTCAAGTGGCCTGAGGGCCCAGGGGCTGGGGTGTTGCTCGCACAAGGGTGGCGTTTTGGGAGGCATCTTCGATGCAGAAGATGACGGAGGACGACGACGAAGAGGAGGCCTTTCAGAAGTCTCTTGGGGTCTGCTGCGAAGCTGCTTGAGGGCTTCTCGGAGGCCTTTAGGGAGCCTGTTGAGGATTCCTGAGCGCCTCCTGGGGCTTCCTTGGGACTCGTTGGGGGCCTCTTGGGACCCGTTGGGGCCACGTTGCGGGTCTTTGGAAGCACCTCGTCGGAGTAGGCTTCTTGGGCTCCTTCCCTTCAGTCGGCCTCGCTTGGGGGCCTCTTGTTTTTTGCTGTAATTTGCCGTCTAGATGGCATCTCGAGGGGGCCTCTTGGTCCGCTGAGGGGCTCTCTTGGACCGTCTCCAGTCTCTGTTGAGCGCTTCTTGGCCCACTAATGGGAAGCAGTGATGTTTGCCTCTTGCGGCCATCGGGATCATCCTGGAGCCCTCTTGGGGCGTCCAGAGCACCTCTCGGGCTGTCCTGCGGTCGGCCTGCCTGTTCTTGAGGGCTCTCTGGCGTGGCTGGGCCCTTCTTGGCCCTTGTGGAGGGCATCCGTTTCAAGCACGCACTTGCAGCTGCTGGCAATGCTGAGAGGCTCAACGCACCGCTGAGCCACAGGCCGCAGAGTGCGCGGGAAGCCGCTGTGAAGGAGTGCTGCCATAACGGCGGTTCACTCTTTTCCCGTACGAATGTGCCGTTTTGTGCACGCAGTCTCTTGCTTGTCGGGGGCGGAAAAGAGGGGGGTGATGACTAGGGGGAGGGGATATCATGGCGGAGGCCATGATATTTCCCCAGATCTCGTGGCGCCTCTCCTTGTTTCGTTACGTCCCTGGCCCCCCCGCTGGGCCGCGCACATGCCGCCGGTCATGATTTGCACGCCCCCCCTCTTGGACACCCCCCTCTTGGCCGCTCCCGAAGCTGCTGGCGGGTCTAGCTCTTCGAGGTCACCGCCGACCTGCTGAGGTGGGCAGAGTCGGACTGCCCCGTGCGTCAGGCTGAGAGCCACCTTCCAAGGGCGCCCTTGCATCCTTGCCTCGGCCCCTCCGAGCTCTCAGCCGCGGATCACGGTGCTTCCGATGTCGAGGAGGAGGAGGAGGCGGAGGAGGAGGGCGACGGGAGGTGCTTGCTTGCCTGGTCTTCTTGGAGGCGACGGGAGGGTGGACCCGGAGGTGCCGACGGCCCCCGCGAGCCGCCGGCGAGCTCCCGGCTTTCCCCCCCCCCCCCGGGGGTGCCCCGCCCGGCCGGTCCCCCCTGTGACGGAGTCTTGGACTTTGCAGTCGGGCCTGTCCCCCCACAGGGGGAGTTGTGGCGAGAAATGAAAGGTACCCCACAAAATAGTCAAAACATGGTCCAGAACTAGCCTGGGGACTACTTTTGGAGTATTGTTTGGCCCTTTTTTTTTTTTTTTTTTTTTTTTTTTTTTTTTTTTTGTTTTTTGTGTTTGTTTTTTTGAGTATTTCTTATGTTTCGTCGAAAATCCTCCTGTAGGGGGACAGGCCCGACATACTCCAGATTTCGTAATAGAAGGGAGGGGGTCTGGACCCTCCAAGACAAGCCATTTCAGACCTCCCCCGTGGGAGAACCCTCCAAAACATCGTCCCCAGACCCCCCAGGCCCTCCAAGATAGCCTGGAAGAGACCCCCCCCGAAATGAGACCCCCCTCCCTTTATTACGAAATCTGGAGTACGGTTTCGGTGGGGCAGGCGCCCTCCTCCAGGGTGGCGGGCACGGGTGCGCGAAGAGATACGCGCAAGCCGCGTGCCGCGGAGCACGATACTCGCGAAGCCGGGCGATCCAGGAAAGTCCCACCGGCCCCTCCCGAACTGGATCCCGGGGTGGCAGCCTGGGCCGGGGCAGTGGAGGAGCACGCAGCAGCACAATCGCGCGTGGGAGGGGCGGCCGCGGTGTCGTTTTCACGTCTCTCTCTCCTTGCAGACGACGCTGGCCGACCTTTTTTGTCAGGTCGACGAGGAGGGAGTAGCAAGCAGGACGAAAGAAGGGACGAAGACGATGACGTACAGGAGCAGGAGAAGGAGGAATAGGAAAATCAGGAGGGGGAGCAGGGGGAGCAGGGGGGTGACGAGAAGATGCACAAAGGAATATGCAATGAAACAAGGACGGGACGGGGTGGCAACCGCTTCTCTTCCACATTCCCCTGTCGTAACTCCTCCTATGCCCTAGGGTTCTTGGGGCGTTTTCGGGGGAGTTTTTGTCTCTCCGACTGATCTCGTGAGGCATTCTTGGGGGTCCTGAGGGGCCTCAAGGGGCCATCTGATTGTGCGTCGCCCGCGGGCAGGTGGGCAGTCTGGGGTGTGCACCCACATCGTATCTTTATTCAGTTTACTTTGATGCCCGGTGCAGAGCGGCAGACCGCGTAAGGTCTCCTCGCAAAAAACAGAAAATCATCTGGGCTGAAGGCAGGGTGCAAGCCATACGAGGCGGGCCAGCCACACTGGATGCTGGGTGCAAAACGGCACATCGCGTGGGACTTCTACGTAGGAACATATACCGTCCGGGTTGTAAGCATGGTGGAAGCAGTAAAAAGTCGGACGCAATCAATATCGGCAAGAGTGTGTCGCGCTGGGCTTCGATGAACAACGACTTGGGTGCAAACGGGGTACAAACAAACGAATCGTTTGAGACTTCCCCACAGACATGATGCGTGCTAAGGTTCAAGCAGGTTACGCATAGGTCACAGGTCGGCGAACTCCGTGGGAATCTCTTACAGCAATTGTTTGATGAAGAGGACAGGGCTGCTTGCGCTGCTGCTGTTCCGTTGCAGATGTAGCCAGTGCCTGCCCATACCCCTCACGAGAGGAACAACTAGTGACGAGTAGTCAGGGAAATAAAAGCTAATTCGCAGGCGTCGTAGCGTATGATGCTCGGCTTCCACACGTATGGCGACATCATTACCGCACCTTTGTATTCAGGGGGTCGAACGATGTACACGCATGTGCAAAAACGATAAGGTCAGCGGTATACTGGTGTAATATTTGCTGTGATACATCAAATCGTTCGACGTTACAGGTATGGTTGATTGAATGTATGTACTCTTCGGACGAAGAGTGATAGGTATGGTGTTCTGGCATATGCAGTAAACGCTTGCGTCATGGATGGGGGAGGGGGGCAGGAAGCTCTCTTCAGGCTGTCGTCTGTCTACCCCTCCCCTTCTTCCGCGCCCTCTCCTTTTCATCCTCCTTCCTTCTTCCCCCCTCTCTCTGTATATCTCTCTCTCTCTCTTTTTCACTCTCTCTCTCTCTCTTTCTCTCTTTTGTTCTGTGTCTCTCTCTCTCTCTTTCTCCCTTCCTCTCTTTCTCCCTCTCTCTCCCCCTCTCTCTCTCTTTCTCGCTCTCGTCCTCTCCTCTCCCCTTCTGCCCCCCCCCCTCCAGTGCTCTCTCCCGACGATCGGCGTCAGGAACGCCATATGTTGCCTTGCATTTGCTTGTAGTTCCCAGGCGTTCCTTCGGAGTGCTGGCCCTGCTCCCGTTTCGTTTTTTCCCCCCTGCCCCTCGCCCCTGGTCTTTGCACTGGCCCTGCGGGTGGTGTCAGGCTTGTTTCGAGATCCCCTTGGGGACCATCGGCTTGCAATAGCATCGAGTGACAGCGTGGACATGTGACTTTTCCCTTCCACGTTCCCACAGTTTCGCCATTGTTCGTTCGAGGACGCACGGTGATTGTGTCAGTTCTTCGTTCCAGTCGAGTGTTGCGTGCGGCAGCGCAGGACCCATGGTGCGAGATCGACCTCTCGGTGGAGGATGTCGAGGACCCGAGTGCCGTCGAGAGGGCTTCCAGTTGGGGTGACGGCCCAAGACGGGACGCATGTATGATCTGCCTGGCCGTTGACGGGATGATGGTCTTTCCGTCACATTGCTATGTTCACCAACCGTTTTTTTGAAGGGTGGAGGCCTGCCTCAGGACATCACAGCGCTCGGTTTTGGAGTAGCCTGGCGCCGAGTGCCGACGGGCGCCCGAGAACCACTGCGAGTGCCGTGCGCCGCCTTCCCTCGACCGCGTTTCTCTGTGCACGTGTCCTTTCACGGTGTCTGCGGAGGTACCGCCGCTGTCAATGTCATTGTGCCCCGTTCGGCGTAGGATCGTCCCCCCTCGGTTGGGGCCGCCTTGTCTTGGATCTCCGCTTGCTTGGCCTGCGTCTATGCGGAGCATACGCGCACTGTCGACCCACCTTCACCCGTGAGAATTCAGGGTCCATCTGCGGCGCTTCCACATCCACTCTGGAGAGGTGGACCTCCTTTACGAAACGTAGGAAACCGCTCCTTTCCAAGCATGGTGCGTCCACACCGTTCAAAAAGTCGGGTCCACCTCCGTCCAAACATTGGGGGTCCGCATTCAGGGCCTGACTTGGAGGGAGGGAGGGAGGGAGGGAGGGAGGGAGGGAGGGAACACTACTGCTGCACGTTTTTTGTCCTGGTCTGCGTCGGCCCTCAGATCTGCAGTCATCGCTGCCGAGAAGACAGCTTTCAGAGTGCTTCAGCCAGATTGGTTCAGGTGTCGGCCGCCCTGGGCCGTCCAGCAACCTGTAATCCTCCTCCTCCTCCTCCTCCTCCTCCTCCTCCTCCTCCTCCTCCTCCTCCGGTGGGGGGACGACTTGGACAGGGAGCGGCAGGAACAGGGGAGCTCTCAGCCCGGGCAGCCCGACAGCGGCCTCTCCACCGTGCTCGTCTTCTCTTCTGTGAAGGGCAAGGGGCCCGCGAGCCAGCCGCCCGTCTCAAATTGGCGGCCAGGTGATTTTGTGCTACGCGAAGGTCCGCGCAAAAAGTACCCGCATTCGCGAGACGCAGTGCGTTGAGTGTGAGAATCAATAGGGAGATCGATCTTGGTCGTATTCGCGTTTTCACGTTGGAATCCCTCCGTGCGAGCCCTGGAGGCTCCTCGCCGTCATTCAAGGCATTTGGTGCCCACTGTTGGGTGCAGCACTGAGGTCGACGCCCGCCGCACGAGAGGACAGATGGGTAAGATGATCGTAAGTCCGTGGGTGTGCTGGAGCCTCTGGTTCCCCGTGCGGTAAGCTCAAGGTATAGCGCGCTCCCTCCGAATTGATGTCTGCCGTTCTCTCAACCGCGAGTGCTGATGGCAGTTCACGAGTGCAAGCGCTTGTACTGCCGTCCCGTGTCCTCATGGACCTGGAGCTCTGTGCAAACCGCACGGGTTTGACGGCATCTTCTCGGACGGCGAAAACACAACAAGTGCGCACGTCATGCCGTCATTTTGCGAGGAGCGCACACTGCCGCACATGGGAGGGACGGCGAAGTGCGCCTGGAGGGCCTGCAACAGGGCAAACCTCCATCGCCACTCGCCACGCGGGCCCGGATCTGGCCCGCCGCACGGCGCCGCGGCGCCGTTGGGCAACCCCGAGGCCCAGCTCTTCGGGCGGAGTCGATCGGTAACGCCGGGAGGCCCTCGCCTCCTCCTCCTCCTCCTCCTCCTCCTTCCTCCTCCTCCTCCTCCTCTTCCTCCTTCTCCTCCTCCCCCTCCTCCTCCTCCTCCTCCTCCTCCTCCTCCTCCTCCTCCTCCTCCGCCGCTCTCTCGGGCGGGCTCGCGCGCTCTTCGGCACACCAGCTGCCCGGATCGCTTGCTCCGGCAGGTCGCCCCCTCCGCCCCTGTGTGCACGCACGGAGCGGCGCCGCCCCCTCCGCCGCCGCTTCCGCCCCCCCCCCTCCCCCCCCTCCCTCTCCGGAGGTCCACGGGCACTCGGCCCATCTCCCGCTTCTCCCCTCCTGGCTCTCCCTCCACTGGGGGGCGGCAAAGAGGGGGGTGATGACTAGGGGGGGGTGGATATCATGGCGGGGGCCATGATATTTCCCCAGATTTTATAGCGCCTCTTCTTATTTCATTACGTCCCTGGCCCCCCCGCTGGGCCGCGCACATGCCGCCGGTCATGATTTGCACCCCCCCCTCTTGGACACCCCCCTCTTTGCCGCTTCCGATCCACCCCCTCCCTCCCCCCCCCTTCCCCTCCCCTCTCTCTCGTCCAAGTCGTCCTTCTGCGTGCGGCCGAAGGACTGGAAGAAGGGCCCAGGGCCTAGAGCGCTTTGCAGCTGTTGCCGCCTGGGCCAGTTGGCCGACATGGGGCACATGAAGAGGAACAGTGTTCGAAGGACGATGACGATCATGATGATCATGACCATGATTATGAGGATGAGGAAGAGGAAGAGGAGGAGGTGGAGGAAGATGAGGACGAAAGGGAATGCGGGAAGGGCGGAAGGGGATAGGATGAACAAGGGACACTGGCGAGAGGGAAGGGACAATGGCAGGACGGAAGGAGGAAGGGACAGAGAGGGAAGGAGGTAAGAATTTGGGATGGAGAAAGACAAGCAGAGCGGAGGCAGAAGGTATGGGGGGGAGAATTCGAAGGAGGAGGGTGCCGACGTGCTGAGATAACATGGAGGACGAGGATGAGAAGGAGGTGGAAGTGCAGGAGAAGAGGATGGACGCCGAGGCCGGGGAGGAAGGAGCAGGCGGACACCAAAGAAGTTTGGAGCAGGGCGATGGAAGCCGAAACCCCGGAGGTGGCCGAGCATGAGAAGAAGGGGGATGAGAAGGCGTGATCAGCAGGATGATGAAGAGGAGCAGGCGTGGGACGAGGCAACGAGAAAAAACATAGACATCTATGTATAATGTATATATTCAGAGAGAGGGAGAGAGAGAGGGATATGTCCATTTATTTATATGTCCAGAGAGAAGGCGTGATCAGCAGGATGATGAAGAGGAGCAGGCGTGGGACGAGACACGACAGAAACATATGCTGAGGAGGCGGAGAAGGAGGAAGGGTCGGAGGACCAAAAGGACAATAAGCAGGAAGACACCGTGGTCTAGGTGGAGAAGGAAGGCAACGAGAAAACATACCTCTATATGTAGAGAGAAATATATGAGGCGATAAATAATGTATATATATGTATATATATATGTACAGAGAGAGGTATAGAGGAAGGGATATATATATATAGATGTGTATATATACATATATACCTATACGAACACCATTCGGGTGATAAGGAGGTTCGGGGGGGAGGAACCAACGTCTCACTCGATCGGTCTCACTATCGATCTCACTATCGATCTCACTCTCGGTCTCGCTCCGTCGATCTCACTCGATCGATCTCACAATCGATCTCACTCGATCTGTTTCATTCGATCGATCTCACAATCGATCTGACCATCTATCTCAGAATCGATCATAGTATCGATCCCACCCACTATCGATCTCACAATCGATCTCACATTCGGTCTCACTATCGATCTCACTATCGATATCACAATCGATCTCACAATCAACGACATCATCATCATCAACATCATCGTCATCAACGTCATCAACATCGTCATCATCAACATCATCATCATCATCGGGACACCATCATCGTCATCACCTCATCACCATCATCATCAACATCATCTTCATCACCATCATCATCATCATCATCATCATCATCGGGACACCATCATCGTCACCATCATCATCAACATCATCATCATCGGGACACCATCATCATCGTCACCATCATCGGAACACCACCATCATCATCATCATCATCATCATCATCATCATCATCATCATCGTGACACCATCATCATCAATATCAGCATCATCATCACCATCATCGGGCCACCGTCATCAAAATCATCGCCATCACATCATCATCATCATCCTCATCATCAACATGATCATCATCATCATCATCGGGTCACCATCATCGTCATCATCATCATTAACATCCTCATCAACATTTGGACACCATCATCATTATCACCATCACCATCAACAGCATCATCATCAACCTCATCATCATCATCATCATCATCATCTTCATCATCATCATCATCGGGACACCATCATCATCATCATCATCATCATCATCATCATCATCATCATCATCATCATCATCATCTCATCATCATCATCATCTCATCAACATCATCATCATCATCAATATCATCATCATCATCATCATCATCATCATCATATGGACACAATCATCATCAGCAACATCATCATCATCATCATCGGGACACCATCATCACCACCACCATCATCATCATCATCATCATCAACATCGTCAACATCGTCATCATCATCGGGACACCAGCATCATCACCACCATCACCATCACCATCACTATCACCATCACCATCACCATCATCATCATCATCATCATCATTCTCAACAACATCGACATCATCATCATCATCATCATCATCATCATCATCATCATCATCATCATCATCATCATCATCATCATCATCATCATCATCATCATCATCGGGACACCGATGGGACACCGGCGGGACACTGGCGGGACACCGCGCGGGACACCGCGCGCCACCGGACGTCGGAAGGGAGACATTTGGTCCGGCCGCGCCTCAGGCGGAGGCGGGACACCGGCGGGACACCGCGCGCCACCGGACGCCGGGAGGGAGACATTTGGTCTGGCCGCGCCTCAGCCACAGGAGATTTTCTTCTCGCCCGCCCACGCAGCTTCGCCTCGCCCGCACGCACGGCACGCACGAACACGAAACCGAAACCGATTTCCCGGTAGGGGGGCTCTCCCTTCCACTTCGATCTCACCCCCTCACCTCCGATATATGTATATCTGTGTGTCTACAAACATAGAGGGATACACATACACATGCATGCATGTATGCATGTATGCATGTATGCACGTATGCATATATGCATGTATGCATCTATGCATGTATGCATGTATGCATGTTTGCATGTGTGCATGTATGCATTCATGCATGCATGCATGCATGCATGCATGCATGTATGTATGTATGTATGTATGTATGTATGTGTGTCTATGCATGTATGGATGGATGGATGGATGGATGTATGTATGTGTGTGCATGCATGTGTGTGCATGCATGTATGTATGTCTGTATGTCTGTAATGCATCGTATTGCAATGCCATGTAATGTAATGTATGTATGTATGTGTGTAAGTATGTGTGTATGTGTTTAATGCTTTGTATGGTAATGTAATGTAATGTATCGTGATGAGATGTATTGTATTGTAACGTAACGTAATGTAATGTAATGTAATGTATGTATGTATGTATGATTGTAGGTGATTATGTATGTATGTGTGTATGCATGTGTGTATGTGTGTATGTATGCATGTATGTATGTATGCATGTATGTATTTGTGTATGCATGCATGCATGCACGCATGCATGCATGTATGTATGTATGTATGCATGTATGTATATATGTATGTATGTATGTATGTATGTATGTATGTATGTATGTATGCATGCATGTATGTATGTATGTATGTATGTATGTATGTATGTATGTATGTATGCTTGTAATGTACGTATGTCTCGATGTATGTATGCATGTATGTATGTACGTACGTACGTATGTATGGATGTATATGTGTAGGTATGTGTATACGTCTGTATGTAGGTCTGTATGTTTGTATGTATATATACATGTATGCATGTATATATATATATGTACAGAGATATATACACAATACTGTATCTTCCTTTGCGCCAAACACTATTCGTTTTTTTGTCCTGGCGTTTCAGCCTGTGTCTCTTCCCCCGTCCCTAATATCGCCTCCTCCTCGTCCTCACCGGCTCGTCCTTTGAGGGGCTCTTGGGGACCTCGCACATTTTTTAGGGTCTTCGGAGGCCTCCACGGCGCATTTTGGTGGCCTCTGGCGAGGAGGATGAGGAAGAGAGTGAAGTCGTTGCTTTTTTGCCTCCCATTGGCATCGGGCGATGTTGCCCTTACTTGTCCGTGCGTGGCCACCTACTGGTTCCAATCTACCAGGCGTAGACATCGCAGAGGAGAAGCTGAAGGAGGCGCCCATCCTTTTCTCGCTTGACGGCAGTAATAATGTACGGCTGGAGCGTCTTGCATGGTTCAGATAGCGAGGGCAAGCCACCCAGACGGGCCAACTCGTATATCGTTGGTATGGGTTACCTGTGCAAACTCATCTCGGTCGTCCTCTTCTGCTTCGCCTCTTCATTGCGAAATGTTGCCGTGGGTCTGACCGATCGGTTCGTGGCTTTCCCAAGAACGCTACAAGTACACACTGCTGGTACGATGCGAGGCCAGCCTCCCCCCTGGCAAAACCGAGCAGGGTCATCCTTGGAGTCCTCCACGCCTCCTCTTGGCTGCCTCGCCCGAGCTTGCCCTCGGTCCTTGGTGGCGTGGGGTTCACCGTCAGATTTTTATATTTAATCGCTTCGCTCATGCCGCCGGCCCTGGAGCCCTCTTTAGGAGTCTTGGGGACCTCTTGGGGACCTCTTGGGAGTCTCTTGGGGCCCTCTTGGGAGTCTCTTGGGGCCCTCTTGGGGACCTCTTTAGGAGCCCTGGGGCCTCTTGGGGACCTCTGGGAGTCTCTTGGGGCTCCTTGGCGGCGTTTTGGAGGCCCCCAGGGCCTCTTGGGGGGCTCTTGGGGGTAGTCGATTGCGGCTCCCCCCTCGGAGGCCACGATCCTCGTGAGGGGTGTCGAAAAATACCCTCCCCTGGAGTGGTCTGGTGGCTTCTCCCGGGCTTCTCTCGGGACCTTGCCGGGGTACTTTTCGTCCGGGGGCCCCAGGGGCCGCTCCGCGCGCGCGAACTAGAAATATTGTTAACAAGTTACCGGAGATCTTAGCACGCCTCTGGCCCGTTGGGCCGGCGAATTCTCATATGGCCGGGGAGCCCACACCCCAGCGCCCCCCCCCTCCCCCAAACACGAATTCCGCCTCCTCGGGCCTGTCTTGCGCCTTGCCGTGGCCATCCTGGGGTCGTCTTGGCGCCCCCCGAGGCAAGCGACAGTGTACAAGCGAGAAGGCCGACGGCCGAAGACATTGTTTTCATATTTTTTGGGGTAAAACAATGATTTTCGAATCTCTGGGCCCTTTAGGGCAAGCCTGTGTAGAGGAGGAGGAGGAGAATGAGGAGGAGGAGGAGGAGGAACAGGGGAGGAAGTAGAGGAAGAGGGGGAAAACAGGAGTAAGAGGACGAGGATGGAACGAGAGAAGGAGGAGGAGGAAAAGGAGGATGAGGAGGATGAGGAGGATGAGGATGAGGATGATGAGGAGGATGAGGATGAGGAGGAGGAGGAGGAGGAGGAGGAGGAGGAGGAGGAGGAGGAGGAAGATGCCCTGCTTCATGCTAGCCCACCCACTCGCCTGAGACATATTCGCGCCTCTGGGCCCCGAAACGCCGTGAGCTGGCCTCAGCCGGTGTTGGCCGGTCGCTCCCGCTTAGGGAACGCTACGCCCATTCCGACTTGGCGGTGGCCCGCCCCATGTCCACGCGCACGCACGCCGCTTGCACTCGAATCTACAAAAATCAAGGTGCATGGCGCGAAGTGCCAATGCAGCTTTTTATGTGTATTTATATATACACACACAGGTGTGCATGTGTGTGTGTGCGCGCAGAAGGATCGTGGCGTTCTGGCTCCCACTTCATGGGGCACGACGCGCACGAGTGGTCTCGGCTAGGTTGCACGCACGCACGCCGCTTGCACTCGAATCTACAAAGATCAAGGTGGATGGCGCGAAGTGCCAATGCAGTCTTGTATACACCGCCGTGACAAAAGATTGTGCGGTTTTATGATATGGTGGAATCTCCTATCCCTCTGAAGATTCCTAACATTGACATGCGTCCTCCGCGATCCCGCGGAGTAATTCGGGTACCTCTAATTAATAACATTGTTATCTCAAAACAGGATCGGAAATTACTCCGCCCATTCCTGTATGAAAAACGGGACGGGATGCGTGTCCACGCGGAGTAATTTCTACTCCGCCCACTCCGTTTACTCCGCCAGTCTTGAGTCATGTTGAATGAAGACCGCATAATACTTTTGTCACGGCAATGTATATATATATATATATATATATAGGTGTGCATGTGTGTGTGTGTGCGCGCAGAAGGATCGTGGCGTCCTGGCTCCCACTTCATGGGGCACGGCGCGCACGAGTGGTCTCGGTTAAGTTGTTGTCGGCGCTCTTCAGTTTGGGAGCCTTTGCTCCGCTGAGCCAGTCGTATATTAGACTTTCAAAGCCGCTCCTCTCATCGGAGAGTGGGGCCAGCGTTCGCTCTCGCGGATGGGCGCTGCGCTGGCTGGCAGAACTCGTGCTGATACTCATTCTCCTCCTCGTCGCCCGCTCCCCGTGCCCTCCCTCTTTTGAGCAGAAGTCAAGGGAAGTAAAAACGCCCCTACCCTGGTTTACGAGGCGCTGTGCTCTGAAACTCCTGTGGGGTGACAGGGTACACCCTGCGTGACGTGCCGCGTCCTGGCGGCTCCAGGCTCTGGGGGTTCCCTGGAGGTTTACAGACCACGCACTTGTAATCCAGGGTAGGGTCGTTTTTTCATCCCTCAAAGAAGTGCGCTCAATGTTCGTACTTGACATGGGGCCGCAGGCTGCGCGCAGCGCAAGAGGCGGCCCGGGCGGGCGCGCGCGCCTCGCGCGTGTGCTGAATCTCGCTCGCCCTGTCCCGGGAGGTGCTGCAGCTGCCCCCGATCACGGTCGAGAGCTGCCACGAGCGCGAGGAGCGTTCCTCCAGCTGGGGGCCTGCCCGGTGTGGACTTCGGCGTAGCATGTCGGGAGGTTAATAGCCACGCGTCGCCGCTCTGATCTCGTGTGTCCTTTGTGCGGTCTGCCCATGGGTCTCGTCCGCCAGAAGTGCATCTCTGCTGCCGTTGGACACGCTCTCATCTCCTCCGCTCGGCCATCGTCTCCTTGACCAGAGTCCCCATGGCCGTGCACTTGTACATGCCCAGTGCTGGTAGAAGTTGTCGTTCGTTTTTTTTCTTGAGTAGTTGCTATATCACGTATACACCCGTATTCGCTCCGATTGCGTAGTGTTTTTACCCGCACATCTGGGATGGTTTGCCGTCGATCCAATGAGGAGAGTCACCTTTTCATTCCTATTTCTCTGCCCGACCCCTCTCCTTGAGTCGCCTTATATCGTGCTCCCTTCTCCCTTGCTCCTGCCTCCACCGTCGCTTTACCTTCCTCCCCCTCCTTCTACTTTTCCATCCTCCCTTTTCTCCTCTCTCCTCCGTCCTGTCTCCTCCAGTCCGCCCTCCCTCCCTCTCGCCCTCCCTTCCTCCCTCCCATCTCCTTCCTCCCTCCCCTTCTTGCTCCTACCCCGTGCTCCCTCTTCACCTTCGCCCCTCTCCATCCTTAACCTGCCTCCTCTTTCTCCTCCTCCTCCTCCTCCTTCCTTATCCTCCCCATCGTCCTTCTCCCTCCTCGTCTGTCTCGTCGTCCTCCTCCTCCCTCCTTCCTCTTCTGCTTCATATCTATTCCTTCCACTATATTTGTGCACGCGGGCGGGGGGGGGGGAAACCGCCCCCCGCCTCCTCCAAACAATAATGGACCTCCCGGTTCCGTGGCCGGGGGGGCCCCCTGGACGCGCCTGTAGAGGGTCCCCTGGGCTTTCCCGATCTCCTGGAAGCCCCTGCTGGGCCTGGGCAACGGGCCCAGATCGGTCAGAACGGCGGCCAGACGGCCCCCCGAGGGCCCGAAGACTTCCCAGACACCCATCAGACGCCCGAAGACGACCGAAGAACCCTCAGATGCTTTCAAAACGCAGAAACACGTGGATGTCCCATGTGTTTTTGTATGATTTTGGGAATGCTTTGTTCCTCGGTCTTCAGGCGTCCGAGACTGCCCAGGAGGCCCGAAAATCGTACCAAAACTACCAGAAAGGGCTTCCAGACAGTCCAAGAGAGCTCCAAGACGGCCCAACGAGGCCCCAAGATGGCCCGAAGAGAGCCGCACGATGGCCCAAGTCAGCCCCATGACGCTCCCCGATGCATTCCAAAGCGTGACGCTGTAGTTCAGGGAAACTGCGGTTGGAAGTAGGGTGGCCCGAACTTGAAATGCAAGCTGCAAGAGGGAAGCCCGTGGCTGGGCAGCAATCGGTAGGCATGTGGCCATGCTGGCTCTCATGTCTCGCTTCATTCGACGCGAAAATCAAAACCAACATCTGCCAAGCCAGCACCCTCGGCTGGGCAGGTCCAAAGGAGGAGGAGGAGGATGAGGTGGCTCGAGGAAGCCCTTCAGGAGACCTCCAGGAGGCCCCAATGAGCTTTTCAAAGACGTTCGAGAGGTCCCCAGCATGCTCTCCAGGGAGGATGCTCGGCGAACAAAATTCGAGGAGGGTAGGGAAAGCTTCGCAGGGTAGGGCGAGAAGGAGAAAGAGGAAGGGAACCTGGAACAATGCAGGAATTAATGAAACACCTTGTTACAGCGTCGGTGTCGGAAAAGTCAACCTGGAGTCATCGTCTAATTGTGTGTTCAACCTTTCTGCTTTTCCGCCTGCATGCCAACATTCAAGGACCAAGGTACATGGCGCGAAGCGCTAATACAGTCTTGTACATATATACATATGTATATATAGTTATACAGACTCATACACACTCCCTATTCCACCTAGCCTGCCTTTCCTAATCTCCATCATCTCATCCTCGATTTTATTCTCCTCGTCCTTACATTTTCTCTTCCTGCCTCCTCCCTACTCCTTCACCATTCTCAATCATCCTTCCTGATTCATCTTGCTTCCTTCCCAGTGCTTCCTTCTGTCCTCCTCCGTCCTCAGTTCTTCCTCCTTCCTCCTTCCTTTCCTCCAACTTTGCTCTCATCTGTGCCTTTCTCCCTCATTCCCCAGCGCTCTCTCTTTCCCCATTTTATATGCCGCGCATCCCCTTTCTCCCTTTCCTTTGCTTCTCCAACTCGCGCCCTATTCTTGTCTCTTCTGTCAACTTTTCCCTCCTCCCTCCTCCCTCCTCTCTTTCCCTTTACCTCCTTCCTCCTCCCTCCTTCATTCATCCCCCGCGCCCGCTTCCCTCCTCCCACATCCCTGTCCCTTTCTCCTCCTACTTCCTCCTTGCTCCCTCGTATGGTTCCTCCTTCCTTATCCCGTTGCCCTCCTTCCATCCATTTCTTTCTCCCTTCTCCTCCTTACCCGTTTTTTTTTTTTTTTTTTTTTTTTTTTTTTTTTTTTTTTTTTTTTTTTTTTTTTTTTTTTTTTTTTTTTTTTTTTTTTTTTTTAAATTATTTATATATATATATATGTATACATATGTATTCTCTCTCTCAATGCATCAATCATTATCTCCCTCTTTTCCTCCCTCTTTTTCTTGCCCTTTCTCTTTCTCAGTATCCGGCTGCCTGCGGCAAACCCCGCCACCGTGCCTGCACAACAGCGCAGCAGCAAGGATACCGAGTCTAGGACCAACGCAATTCCGACGACGGGTCTGAACCAGGACGGGTCGTGAACTCGACTGGGTCGTCGTCGGTGCGGCAGTTCAGTGAGCGGTCTGACTTGGGAAAAGCGTCGCGATCTCGACCTCGTCTTCTTCCGCGCGGTGTGGAGGAAGACAGGGAGGGGGAGGCGGAGGACGAGGAGATTGGCCACGTGAAGACGAGGGGGAGGAGGACTCATGGGCCACCGCCTTGGGTCAACCCCGCCCTCCCCCTCAGAGATCGTGGGGGGTTTCGGGGTAGGGTTCGCCTGTGGCCCCCTAGCTCCCCGCACGCGCGCCGAACTGGCGGGGCCTCGTGGTCCACGCCCCGCGGCCGCGCCCCCCCCCCCCGTTGCCTTCTGCCCCCGTGCCTGCCTGCCGCCCTCCCTTATTCCTCCTCCTCCTCCTCCTCCTCCTCCTCCTCCTCCTCCTCCTCCTCCTCCCCCTCCCCCTCTCCTCCTCCTCCTCCTCCTCCTCCTCCTCCTCCTCCTCCTCCTCCTCCTCCTCCCTCCTCCTCCTCCTCCTCCTCCCCCTCCTCCCTCCTCCTCCTCCTTCCTCCCCTCCTCCTCCTCCTCCTCCTCCTCCTCCTCCTCCTCCTCCTCCTTCTCCCCCTCGTGCCCGAAGGCCGCGCGTCTGCGCAAGGTGTCGTCGTTGCTTGGATTTCCCGGGAGGGTTCCGCAATGCTCCGCGTCCACGTCTTGGCCGCTGCAGCCGCCTGGCTGCGCGCCGCACCAGGCAGGGCCCCCGTTGCTCTCGCGCGGTCGCCGATACCTCCGCCAGTGTCCCTCGTTCTCCTTTTCCGCCTCCTTCCCTCCTTCCCTCCTCGATCCTCCTCCTCTATCTTCTCGTCGTCCTCCTCCTTCTCTCCTCCTCCTCCTCCTCCTCCTCCTCCTCCTCCTACTCCTCCCTCCCTCCTTCTGGCGGCGTGCCGGCTCACCCTGCCGCGGACCTCTGTTGCGCGCTGCGTTTGGGGATGCCTCTCGGCCGTCGTGCTCTCAATCTTGGGCAGTAGAATTCGTGACATGTTCGTTGCGTGCTGCCGCTCTTGGGGGGAGCCTCGCTGCGCCCCGGGGTGGTCACTGTTGAACCGCCGCGCCGTCACAGAGCCTCTCTGCGCCACGTGCTTCCCCACTCCCCATCCCTCTCCTCCTTCTTTTCCTCCTCCTCCTCCTTTTCCTCCTCATCTCCTCCTCCTCCTCCTCCTCCTCCTTCTCCTTTTCCTCCTCCTTCTCCCTCCTCCTCCTCCTCCTCCTCCTCCTTTTCCCTCCCTCCTCCTCCTCCTCCTTTTCCCTCCTCCTCCTCCTTCTCCTATTGCTCGCTCTCCTCCTCCTTTTCCTCCTCCTCCTCCCGTCGCTCTCTGCACTGGCAGAGTCGTCGCCTTGCATGCGCCCGCCCGCGAAGGCGGCCAGGCGCGGCCAGCAGAAACCTGCTCTCCCTTCGGTCTGGGTCAGGTGCTGCGGCTCGCTGGCCAGAGGGGCTCCGGACATTTTTCGTTTTAAGTCTTGCATGCCTCCACGAACATGTAGTCCAGATTTCGTAATAAAAGGGAGGGGGTCTGGACCCTCCAAGACAAGCCATTTCAGACCTCCCCCGTGGGAGAACCCTCCAAAACCTCGTCCCCAGACCCCCCAGGCCCTTCGGTCTGGGTCAGGTGCTGCGGCTCGCTGGCCAGAGGGGCTCAGGACATTTTTCGTATCAATTCTTGCGTGCGTCCACGAAAATATAGCCAGCTGGAGCCAGAGGCCCACGAAAATATAGCCAGCTGGAGCCAGAGGCCCAGTGGGAGTGCATGGCTCGATCGAAACATTATGCTGATTTGTTCAGATGTTTCCGTTTTGACGTGTTAGCAGAAAGCGCATTAAGTTTCACCGCGAAGAAAGTGGTCTTGTTTTGTTGTTCGTCTTGGTTTGTTCGTTCTCGTCGTCGTCGTCGTCGTCGTCGTCGTCGTCGTCGTCGTCGTCGTCGTCCCTCGCCGTCGTCCCTTGTCATCGTTCCTCGTCGTCGTCCCTCGCTCTCGTCGTCGTCATCGTCGTCGTCGTCGGACGTCGTCTTGCTTTGGCCTGGCGGGCTTTTGTCCGCCAGTCTTCCTTCCATTTCCATTACTCCCTCCCTTCTGCTCCTCCTCCCCCCCTCTTCCTCCCTGCCCCTGCCTCCGAGGACGGGGATCTGCAGTGGGACGAGATCACGTTTGAGGAGGAGGTCGTGTGCCTCCCGCCGGCTTGGACTTTTTTTTTTTGTTCTCTCTCTCTCTCTCTTTTTCTCGCTCGCTCCTGCTCCTTCTCCTCATCTCCTCGTCCTCCCTACTCTTCCTCCCTCGCTCCCTCCCTCCCTCCCGCTCCTCCTCGTCCTCCTCGTCCTCCTCGTCCACCTCCTCCTTCTCCTCCTCCCTCCTCTTGCTCGACCTCGTCCTCCTCCTCCTCCTCCTCCTCCTCCTCCTCCCTCCTCCTCCTCCTCGACCTCGTCCCCATCCTCCTCCTCCTCCTCCTCCTCCTTCTCCTCCTCCCTCCTCTTGCTCGACCTCGTCCTCCTCCTCCTCCTCCTCCTCCTCCCTCCTCCTTCTCCTCCTCCTCCTCCTCCTCCTCCTCCTCCTCTCCTCCTCCCCTCCTCCCTCCTCCTCCTCCTCCTCCTCTCCTCTCCTCCTCCCTCCTCTCCTCCTCCTCCTCTCCTCCTCACGCTTCGCGCTTCGCGGTACGGCTCCTCTTCCTCCTCCTCCTCCTCCTCCTCCTCCTCCTCCTCCTCCTCCTCTCCTCCTCCTCCTCTCCCCTGGGAGGCGGCGCGAGAGCGCGGAGTTGTCCGCACTTCGCGCTCTCGCGCAGCGCGAGGCGCGAAGTTGGGAGCCCTTGGTGAAAGCTTGATGGGGGGTGGCGGAGAGGGCACGCGTTTCAGCGTGGGACGCCTGCGCCCACAAAAGGGGGGTTCCCCGGAGGGGAAGTGGCGGGGGGATCGAAACGAGGAGGAGCACCAGGAGGAAAAGAAAGAGAGAAGGAGAGAGAGAGAGGGAGAGAGAGAGTGTTTCAGATCTTCAGATCGACAGACGGTAGCAGGGTCGAGAGAGAGAGAGAGAGAGAGAAAGAAAGGCAGGGAAAGGGAGAGTGAGAGAGAAAACCAGATAGGGGGAGAAGGGAGGGCAGCAAACGCGGAGGAGGAGGAGGAGGAGGAGGAGGAGGAGGAGGAGGAGGAGGAGGAAGAGGAGGAGGAGGAGGACGAGGGGTCCGCCGCAGTTTTGGTGCAAGTCGGCACACGCAGGGGGGAACCCCCCTCACGCCCAGGGAGATCGGGCGGGCAATGCCCACCCGGAGGCAGCGACGAGAGCGGTGCCGGGCCCGTGCGATGGAGGGTGCCCGCGATGCCAAGGCCGCGCCGGCAGGCGCCTGGCGGCCGCGTCGGGCCACGCCCGCGGCAGGGGGCCTTTCAGGTCCCCCGCGAGCCACGGCCGCGGCAGGGGGCCTCTCAGGGGACCCCTGCCGCAGGCCCGCGGCGGCCGCCGCCAACGCCAACGCCAACTCCTGCGCCTGCGTCTATGCCTTTGCCAGCTTCGACGCCAGCACCGGCGCCGAGATGAGCTACGAGAGCATTCTGGCGCAGCACTAAGTATGCGCCGACATCCGGTCGCTCCGTCTGGAGACGACTCGGATACGCGGCCAAAAAGGCCAACCCATTTGAGGATATGGTTTCACCACCATTGCCAGGTACGCCAACAACGCCTACATCAAAAACAACGAGCTGCGGAACAAACAGCACAGGGGTAGCCGGCAGAACATGCACGGCCAGGGCTCCGAGGACTGCGTAAACGCAAGCACATTCACCGACGCGGGCAGATACCAGGAGCCGAGGTACATCGTCATACAGGTGCCCCAGTTCGATTCCCAGTCAGAAGACCCGCGCGATGCCTTCAACACCAAATACGACAATGGCCTCTGCGTCCTCCCGCCGTTCATCCCCGCGAGCCTGCGCAACCAGAACTCGGTCACCACGGGTGCCAACGGAAGGTCTAGGCCACCGCAGTCGCGAACCTGAGCGACGACCAGCTGCAGCGGACCATCGGGTCTACCATGCGCCACGCCAGGAGGCGCCGCTCGATGGATACGCTGGACTCCTGTGCTGGCACGCACGCCTGCGTCTATTCGAC